AAAGTTTAATTAATTCCCCAAATTTCACTTTTATATCTTTAACGGTTTTGGAGATATTAAATAAAAACCATCTTCAGGGGCTTTCTTTTTGGGGGCTGTAGCTCCCTTAAGAGGCATTTCTTGACCTATGTTTATATGCCTTTTTTTCTTATTTTTGCACGTACAATCTGCTGTTAAAGTATGGTGCATTAATTTCAGGACACCCTGTATATGATAAAAAAACTCTTTATATTATTATCCAGCGCGACACTTTCTGGTGGTTATAGTTCGGGCCATGTTTAGATGTTTCTTGTTATGACGCTCTCCTATTTATTATCTTATTGTATTTTATTTATATTTTATACCATTTTATTTTATTGCATATTGTTTATTTGATTTGTGTCTATATTTGTACTTGTGAGAGTGCTCATGCATGAATATTTAAACATGGGTAATATATTAGCATTATTTCAAAAGGATTTATCCTTAGAAGAAAAATAGTGTTTTTATGTTATTACCTACATATACTCTGGGTGCAGAATTGTTTGTATATTTTTACAATACTGTTGTCTTGTGCTGGACATTGATTTTGTGAGAATATTTGAACATATTGTGATATAGGGATACTATAGTGAGATAAGGACATTAGGTTTCGTTATATCACTTCTTAGAGATGCTATTGTTCCATAGTGTGGTTATTGGCTACGGTTAAATATCTGCATTAGATTCTATTTTTCCATGTTTCCCCTCCTCTTTAAAGGCATTTGAATTCTCTCTATCAGAAATATGTCGTAGTTTATTTATATAAAATCGTATCCTCGTTCAATAGTTCGAAGATGCGTGGTAAGGTAAACAAACACTCTGTCATAAAATGACGATCTCTATTATAACTATTTTACCTGAGTACAAAATGTTTTGAATATTGATAAAAACACCCAAATTATATGAAATATGTTTATCTGCTTTTTATGTTATTTTATTCACTTATTATTTATACTGTATTCTTGTGATTATGACCCATATAACTATGTTTTGTTTTGTATTTTATTTTTATATGAATTGTAAGTCGACAGGGTTTTTATGGTCCCTTTTCCCTGTGCTTTGACTCAACGGGCCACCCCTTTGTCTTTGTTTAAATTAAATCAGGGGTTTAAAATTAAATACTTGTGTTTCATTAAACCTGACCAATTTCAAAATAACGTTACTATTAATGTACGTAAAAACACAACGTAGAGTCCTAATTTTTATAAAGTAAGTAAATTATCTAGACGATCACGAATATGCCAAAACAAGTATTTCAGTATACTTAAAGAATCGGGTTACGAAAATACATAGTGTACCTTACAACACTAAAATTGACATTTTGTTAAATGTGGAAGAAGATCCTCACAGTGCTTCTAACATAGTCGCAGCTGACAAGTCAGCCAACGCTCAGTATTCTTATGAAGAAAGAAAAGTACCATTCATACAAAATTAGACTAGTGCAAGAACTTAACGAAGATGATCCGGACCGTAGACTACAATTTAGTGAAACTATGATGAATTTATGTAACAACACTTTCCTCGTAAAATACATTTTTCGCACGAAGATATCTTCTGTTTGTGTCCATCAACCGTCAAAATTGTACTAGTACTGGAGCATAGAAAATCCTCATTGGGTAGTAGAGGCAAATTCCCAATACCTGCAAATAGTGAATGTCTAGGCAGAAATGGTGGAAAACGTTCTCAGAGAATTTTCGGATAGGCTTGCTTACTGTCAAGAAACCAACGGGAAGCAATTCGAACATTTAATTGGTTAATGTATCCATTAACATTTTTTAATGAATTTGTTCCATACTTTTAACGGTCACTGTATATATGCCATGTAAAAACTATGTATAAACAAAAAATTAAAGGAAATAACTGGGCATTTTTTATTTAAGAGCAATCTATCCTAACCACTAGACCATACGGGATATTTACTTTATTTTAAACAAAACGCGCGATTATCTTTGAAACGCTTACATTTATCAAAAAATATATATATATTTTTTGTAAATCAGTTAATTTCCAAAACAATATGGTCTACTAATTGTATAATATTAATTGTTACATATGCAAATCACTCAACAACAAAAAATTGATTTCCACTTATATATATATATTATATATTGAAAACAAATCATAAAAACCCAGCAGACGAAATATTATTTCAAATAAAACTTAATAGCGCTTTAATCTGTCGATATGTTTATAAATTTCACTAGCACGTGCTTAAAATACTGTCAAAATATAAGAGAAACAATATATACAACTTAAAAACTTAATATTAATAATTTTTCCTAAAGAAAACTCACCCTGCGTCATGGTTTACCTTTCACATTCGCACTGATAAGAGACTTTTCACATTTTTCGTAAATGAAAATGTCGGGTCTAAATATAAACCAAATTCTTACGAATCAGCCGCGGTTAAAAATAGCGCAGTCATATTTAAAAATTCTCTTTTCAAGCAAGCGGCCTGCACCTTGCAACGTTGCACCGCTTAAGTTTATAGAGAATTCTCGGGCGAGGAATTAAATCGGAAACTGTTTGATTTTTGCGTATTTTTAGAGCGAAATAATAATTATTATGATCGAAGGCTCGAGCGGAATTCGAATGGTGTCAAGAGCCAAAGCCGAAATTTTATTGGGTCATTTCAGCGCGAGTTGTTGGTGAGTTCGTGCCAACTCACCTTATAATGTCACGTATCAAGATTGGGAATATTAATTTTACGGAACGTACAATACAGGGTTACGGGAAATAACGTTAAAATATTTCTGGGGGTGATTCTAAACGTAAAAATAGTTTTGTTGAACTTTTGATCTTGAAATACAATTCTCCAGATAATTTTACGTAAATGCTGCTCTTGTTACAAAGTTATGAAGACAAACGGTTTCGAGAAAAAAAAATCCTAAATTCAATTGTAATAATAATAATATTTATTGATTTCAAGAAATTTGCATACAAAAGAAAATATAATACAAATATTAAATGAAATTTGGTTCAGAAAATTCTTAATGATTTAAAAATTCGTGTAAATCATATGATTCAATATGCATCAGCAAGTTATAAACGCCAGTTTAAAACTTTTTAAGGTTTTCTTCATTTTGAATACTATTTGGTAGTCTATTGAAACATACAACCGACAAATAGTAACTTTTCTCAAAAATACTCAGTCTATGCTTGGATAGTTGTAGCCAGAAGATCTTGTAATAGCGTTTCGTTTAAGGTGTTCAAAGTTTAGCTAACTTTTTCGTGCAAATACTAAAAGTTCATAAATATATAAACCAATGGGAGTCTAAAATATCCTCTACACGAATCAGTATACCTTAAATTACTCAATATTCGAATTACACGCTTTTGTATTACACTAGCATCTGAAACACTACTACTTCTGCCCCAAAAAATAATGCAATACCTCAGCAGAGACTGAAAATTCGCAAAGTAAATGGTTTTTAGAGTTTCATTATTTACATATTTCTTTAGTACCCTAATTGAATATGCTACAATGTTAAGCTTATGGTTGAGTTGTGCTAAATGAGTATTCCAATTTAGGTACTCTCCTATATAAAGACCCAAGAACTTTGTGTCAGATGTATACTTAATTACATTTTTATTTATTTTAACATTGCTGGGAGTTTCTATGCGATTTTGTATTTTTTTGAATAATATACAGTTGTTTTTTCCTGGTTCACAATAAGTTTATTCATTGCAAAACCATGACTGCAGTCATAAAGACATTTTGTATCAGGTGTGTATCGTCAGCGAAATTTACCATATTCTGATTGGTATTTTGTATAAAACTTCCAATATCGTTAATATCGTTATAAATTATAAACAACAATGGCCCAATGGTACTACCTTGAGGTATTTCAACGTTCCTCGTCTCGGTTTATTTTAACCCGCTGTTTTCTTCCTGAAAGATAGGACTGTAGTTGATGAACTACAAAAATAACGCAATTTATCTCCAGTTTTTAACAATTCTTATTGAATTGGTACTGCATACGCCAATGATTTTAAATATCCCCACACGCAGAAGTCGAGTGTATTTAAATCTGGAGAACGAGGAGGCCACGGAATCGACCATCGGGCGCCGTAAAATTTATATAAATGTGTCCTTACGTTCGCAGAAAAATGAGATGGCGCGCTATCAGGCATTAAAAACATCGACAAGCTTAAATGGTAGGTAGGAGGTTTATGAATAATGATAAAGTTGGAGTCCTTCATGCCATTTGGTTCTTAACCAACGACATAATTCTAGTCTACGTGGAAGATCTTGAAAATTAAAGCTTGTACGCTTGTAAATGATAGGGATAAAGCAGTTGTTCGTGCATTATTTCCCAAATTGTACTTTTTGGAACGTCCTCTTGCATAGCAATTCTTCTAGTGCTTGTCCTAGGATTAGCGGCAACTACTTCCAGGACCGTTTCTTCGTTTTCCACTATTCGAGTTGTTCGATTTTTTCCGCATTCACCTTTGTTTACTTTAAAAGTGCCAGTTTCACACAGTCTTTGATGTTAACTGGCAAACGTCCGTTCACATTGGGGAATGCTTCTTGGTACAATCTTCGAACTTCGCGACTATTACCATTGGCCTTACCGTACATGAAATGCATGTTAGCCATTTCTTGGAAAGTGTAGTTTACCATTTTTGTTATACTTTGTAACAAGAGCATCTTTTTTACGTGTTTTTTGGTACCTACCTGAAGCATGTATGTTGATTAGGCAATTTAAAAAAATCTACTATTTAAAAAATATTAAATTTCTTGAATCACCCTAAGGTGTATGTACACATGTAAATAATTATGATTTGTGTATGACTCAAAAACTTTAAAATAGTTCAGTGTATTGAATGAATTGTAATGACGTGCCAAAAGCAATTTGGCACGTAATTTGTTTAATAAATACCTTTATTAATCTAATAATAAACAAGCAATTAATAACAAAATTTCTGGATATTTAGGAAAAATAACTATGTAATAATACTAATAATAGTAATCTTACCAAATGATTTAGTTGTCTGTCTCTTATACATTTCCAAGCAGGATTTCCTATGTACCATTCTATGGGTAATGGCTTGATATCTCTTCTCGAATTCTTGTTCTGATTCTGTGCTGGTTATAGAGCCTCTTTTTTCCATTGGTTCTGTAAAAAATAAAAAACACATAAATGCATTTTAATATTTGAGAGATACACTGTTATAAAAATCAGATTTGTTAACATGAGTTTGTAGTTTGTTAATTTTATTTTGTAAAATTTTTCCCACTGACAATATGCATCAACAAGTTCAGCGTCTGCAACTTATGTTTCTGCTTACTTTATTCTAATTCGTTACGTGTTTGCAACAACACAGTCTTTATAATGTATTACCAGAAATCTGTTATTATTTTTATTCGGATTCCTTATACCTTTTAACGAGTGTGCGAAGTGCGCAGCATCCGAAAAAAGATGCCATCCAGTGTTCTTAAACTGAAATTAGGGGATACAGTAAAGTGGGTTAAAGTTACGAAATATACCAGTGTTGTAGTAGTACTGATAATTATATTGTACCAAATTTCTTTATAATTTCAAAATGGTGTGTATTTAATTGTGTGTATGTTTTTTTTGTGTTCATTTATGTATGAGTTAATTTTTTTGTTTGGGAAATTGATTAATAAATTAACATTTCTTATCAAAATTTGTTTCATTTAAGTTCCCAATTTCCAACAAATACTTCTGTTACTGGGTTTGTAAATAAAAGGTCTTTTTGAAAATTACATGAATTATGGTTCACAGAAAAAAGGTTTAGTTAGCTCAACTATTGTTGGTTTTATTTAACTAAATCTGTTGTTTCAATATATAGAGCCAACCAAACATTTAGTTATTTTTACAACCGTATCAAGTTTGATAAACGCCATTTTACACACGAATTTAATTTAGGGACGAGCGAGCTTGCGAGTGAGTGCTTAAATTAATGAGTGCATAGAAAAGTTTATAAACGAGGTGCATACTATACTTTTTCTACGACAAATACTTATTATTATCTTTATTATTATCTTAAAATGATTTAAATCAAATATTTGTATAGAACGCCATCTATGAAACAATAGGGGCTTTCTGTGTGTCACCGTCAAATGTAAAATTTTTATATTTTATAAACACAGATAAAGGTTATAAATCGAAATGTATTTCTTGAAAATGGACAGTTTTTCAGTGAAAGTAAAGAACAAACAATGTAATGTTTTATGAGCACTTTACAGTGGAGTCCGTGTCCGAATTTAAGTTATAGTTTACTACCGGCGAAATTAAAAGGTCAGTACAATGTTCATAAAAACTTTTCAAATAATGACGTTGAGAAACTATTTAATACTTTTGTATTTTTGTATTGAGATAATAAAATAATTTTCAAATATAGTATTATTTTATAAGAAACGATTGTATGACATTTGACAACTGTCAACTAACTTAAAACCAGGGTTGTGAACCGGTCCAAGAACCGCTTGTTTGTTACGGACCGGTCCGTACCCAAAATAAACAAGTTATAATTCTGGACCGGTCCATGGACCGTCCCGTTTTTTAAATTACTTGGACCGGTACAAATTTTGGACCGAACCGTTTTCAAGTGTTTTGGAGCGGTACTGGACCGGTTTAAACACTTTGAACCGGTCCAAACATTTGTATTATTAGATTATTTCCACTCCTATTTCATATTATTGACATTATTATTATTACTGTGATTTGAACCAATCGGGTTTTAAATTGGAAAAAGTGAGATTGAAACTAACAGATGTCAGATTTTTTTTATATATTATATGGGTCATTCCACCAAATAAAGTTTTTTTTTGTTGGCCCTCGCGGATTTTTGAAGTGAAACTTTAAACGCGCGCAAAGGGATAACTGCTCTAAACCCAATTTTCATATAATAATATACATATAATAATTTCGTAATAGGTACACACTACGTGCTGGTATAAGTATATATAAATGGCGTCCACGCCAGGTCGGGTTGTCCTCCGTGACATTGTTCTTTCTTAAATAGGACACTTTAAATTCTAAAATTTGGCGAAATGGCTTTTAGCAACGTTGCCAGGTTTTTTGATAGCCGTCCAAGACAGTTTTTTTGTCAGGGACCGTGCATATTAAACAGTATTACATACATATTTAAATTTTAATTAATCATACGCAGTAGGTACCAGATGGTTGGGTCCATGCGCAGTAAGCACCAGGTGGTTTTATGTGTGCGCACTGTGTACAAAATGATTTGATCTATGCGCAGTGGGTACGAGATTATTATGTCTATGCTCAGTAGGTACCAGGTGGTGGTTTCCATGCGTAGTTGGTACCAGGTGGTTTATTTTTATGCGCAGTAGGTACCAGATGGTTGGATCCATGCGCAGTAAGTAACAGGTGGTTTTATGTGTGCGCAATTTGTACCAAATGATTTGATCTATGCGCAGTGGGTACGAGATTATTGTGTCTATGCGCAGAAGGTACCAGGTGATAGTTTTTATGCGTAGTAGTTTTTATGCGTAGTGGGTACCAGGTGGTGGTTTCCATGCGCATTAGATACTAGTTGGTTTTATGTGGGCGCTCTGGGTACCAAATAAAAAAACAAATATCGTCAAATTTCGAAAAATAATTACTATAGTTAATATTAACAGCTCAAATCTTCAGAATCTATAGAAATGTTTAATGATTAATTATTAAAAAAACTAACTACTATCAATATAATAAGTTATTCACGAGAAAGCGATTTTCCGAAAATTTTAATTATTTTCTGAAAATTTTTTGTAATTGGTAAAATAAATATAAAAATCTAACGTGGAATGATAAATCTAACATTATTTCTAGGGGGACAAATTTTAATGTACGTTTCATGAAAAAATTAAGTAAATTAAGTGAATAAACAATAATGGTTTTTTTACAATTATTGTAAATCAACGAGAAATACGCTCAAAGTGATTCTCTCCATCTTCCGTTGATCACAATGGCAACTGTCAAAATGACAGGTGTCAAAACAGCTATAAAAATTAGTGATGATAAAATGACAGGTGTCCAAATGACAGCTGTCAAAATAAGTTGTAAAAATAACTGGTGATAAAATGACAGGGGCCCAAATAACAGCTATCAAAATGACAGGAGCCTAAATAAAAACTGTCAAAATGACAAGTGCCGAAATGAGCTGTCAGAATGACAGTTGCTGAAAAAACGTTATCCGAGCAAAGCCGCAAGTATACAGCTATTGTATAAATCACCGATAGCTAGTGAATCACCATTTATAAGATTTGGAGCAATCCTAATCCACATTTGCTCCATGAGACCCACAAAAAAGTTGATTAAACAATTTTTTTGTTTTTCTCTTAATTTACCTACTTTAAAAAACTGACCAACAGATTTATGAGAAAATTACAGTATCTTATTAAGAATTAAAAGACCTTTAAAACGATATCACTTAAACCCCCGTGCAATTTAAGATTTTGGGGGCGGGTGGGGTAGAGCGCGTAGGGGTGCGGGTGAGGTCGTACAATAAATGTCTCCCTTTACAAATAAAAATTGACGTGCCACATTCACCCTTTAAAACGTTTGGGAGAATACGTTTTCGTTCGTTCGGACCGGTCCATGGACCGTGGACCGGACCGTTTTTGGCGGTCCACACTGTTAATGTTCCAAAACGAACCGGTTCAGTCGAACCTATTTTTGCTGGACCGGTCCAACACAAACGGTCCAACACAAACGGTCCGGTTACATGGACCTTTTTTGGAACTGAACCGCTGGCGAACCGGTCCATGGACCGAAATTTTGTTACGGTTCACAACCCTGCTTAAAACTAACTTCAGCCCGTGACTAAAAACCTGTTGATAACTTCAGCCCGTGACTAAAGCGCCATAAAGCCACAACTTGTCAATGTGTATTTAAAAGGTCACTTAGTGTCATGGAAACATGTACGATAAAGGGCGTTTTAAAGGTGAGAGTAGTAAAACATGTTTATAGTTAAATTGACCTTTACCTGCCAGTCCAATATACTTAATACCATTGGTTGAAATGACTCAATATGTTACCCTAACTAGGTTAACGGCTTGGTACAACTTACCCATAGCGTTTGGCGCATTTATATACCTAACAATAATAGAATCTTGTGTAATATTTGGAGTAGAAACATTTTGTTGTTCATTCATTCAATTTTCTTATATTCTTCAAGAAACTTCCTTGACGCTTTACTAGTATAATGGTATTCCAGAAAATTGAACCTTCATCTCGCTAGAGTTGTAGTGTTGTAGTGAAGGCTTTGTTATCTATGGTAGTGTCACACCAAGACAAAGGACTACCTGAGCTTATATACTCTCCATGTAAGTCAACAGAGGCGAGATTTAAGAACATAACGTGATCTACACCGCCTTTGCCGCAATCGATACCTATGCAACCAAGAATGCATCGTTTTAACATAGTGCTTAAGGTTGAAGTAACTCTTATTTTATAAAAAAACATATTTAGTAAACTGAACCATACAGCGGGTTGGTCTCACTAAAGTTTTCTGGGTTAATTTAAACAATTTAAAAAAGTAAAATAACTATCTGGTTTAGTACCGTCAAACTATGGTTTGTTTATATTAACCTTCCCACAGTTGATTTAAATAAATATGGGTCAACTAAATTAACCATTCCTTTTTTTCTGTGTTGAATTATTGATATAGGATTTAGTTATAAAATCTATAAAATGTTTGTTATAATTACAAACTACCTATTCAATAAGTTGGTTGTAAACTTAACATAAAGTTATGTGGACCTGGATTAACATAAAATCTGTTTAATATTTAGTTAAAATTAACAAATATTTCTTTACTGTGTAAAGACATTTTTTTCATGGTAAACAATTTCCGTAACGTTTCCTTCCATGACAGAACGAATACAAGAAATACCACTTCTCTTTAAAATGATAAAATTGTATAGATTTCAACCTTAAATGTAAATAAATAAGTAAAATATTTACCTGGTGACGCAATGGACCTGTTCCAAGCATTAACCTCCTCTGATTCGTCGATTATGATCCAATAGCCGTCGTTGTAGGGAACATCGTAGACGCCATGGTCGTCCTCGTCTTCGGGTGCCCCCGGCAAAACGCTCGGGCTAGAATCGGTCGCTTTCAGAACCTCCTGGCTGTTATCTGTCGACTTCGCCATCGGTCGCAATTTCGATCTGTAGGTCTTAGCACCGCGTTCTTCAGACTAAAAAAAAGTAAACATTTTACATATATATTTAATTAACATCTATTTTCTACCTTTGCTCTGACATCGGGCTTGTATCTGCTGTGCCTTCTTGCTTCCGCTAGGTTTCGATCTTCGGACCGGATCCTTCTTTCCAATTTCTTGTATAATCTTCCCTGAGGTTTTATCCTGGGCGAGTCCTCGAATCCTGCTGGCGGTTCCACGATGTCCTGCTGTATACCGTTGCTGCTCATGCTTAGGCTTTTGTCTGGATCTTCGGTTGTAACTAAAAATGATAAAAATTGTTTATAGCTTCTTATAATAAATACTAAATTAATACCTATATCAACTTCCTTCCCACAGTGCAGGCAGTGCACCTGGTGGTCAGCAGTATGACTACTTGGATCGCTATAAAAAACGCTATCGCTTCCAGGGGAAACTGATCTGAGCGATTCAGCACTTAGAGCTTTTAATTTATTGGTGCACTCTGGACTTTTTTGCTGAGGACTTTGTCGCTTCCTGATGGGAGAGCCAGAAGTAGGACTAAAATGATCTATAACTATAGCATCTTGTGGCTGCAAGGATTTGCCTTGTTTGCCGCTTTTTCTCCTCGATAAACTATTGGGTAAGCTGGTTGATTTTTCATCTGCACCATTTCGTTTAACCGATCTCTGACTTGTTGGACTTCTTGGTAGTGATTTTCTCCGATTGTTCTCCTTGTTCTTCTTTGATTTTCTCGGCGATAATTGGTGGTTGGCTTGGTACTTCTTCATACCTAAATCGCAACTCGATTCGTCGGAAGTTGCTTTGCTTTCTTCTCTGTAGCGTTCCTCTATTTTCTTCTTGTGAACCTGCACAGACGAAACAAAAGCAACGAATAAATTTAGACTTCCCAATAATACGGACCTGCATTGGGCTTCGTGTCCGAGCTTTTCCACGTTTTGACTTCACCTCCGGTGTCACTCTTAAAGATTCCGATGCTGGTGACACTCGTGGTGATGTTTTGGACTCCCTTCTTATGGTTTTGTATTTTGTCGGGGAAACATACGCTTGTTCCGGCGGTTTGTAACCGATTTCGAGGGTGTATGGGCGACGTTTTTGACACGTGGCTTCGTCGTGCTTTGGCGATTTCCAGGTAAGACTGAAAGATGAATTTCCTTAGTAAAACTGGGACCCATCTTAATAAAAAAACTTACTCTTCTTCCATTGGACTCTCATAGTATCCCGAAGAAGAATAGTGGACGCTTTTCTCCTCGTCTGACACCGTCGGCGGTGTTTTCTGTTGTTTCTTGTGTTGGTGTTTGGTTTGTGAAGGCACTGAAGGGGATTTTGGTGACTTGTGATGCGGTGAAGGCGAGCGTCGGCCAAGCAGGTCGGGAGTCGAACCGACGCTGTAGGAGCCGCAAGATGAGCTACTGTTGTCATCGGACGGAGTCGATCTTCCAGTTCTGAATATTATTTATATAGTTGTAGGTATTAAATAAAAAAATAAAAATAGTATTACCTTATATGTGGTACAGGTGTGTTGGTGATGCTTCTGCTTCTTGAGGATCTTGGCGACCCTCGTAAGTCGTCTATACTTCTTGCTGGTGAATACGGCGGTGAAAAAGATGGTACCACCATATCATCCCCCAAAACGTCCAAACCTTTGGTACTATCAAAACTTCCTTCATTTATTTGAGTTGCGTTCAGATTGTAAATGTCCACACCCTTAAACAAACCATTTATTATATATTATATTATATACAGTGACCGGCAAAAGTATTGTACATTTATACCTTTTGGGCTAATAGTTTCGGAGATAATAATTAAGTTTTTATTCTCATTGGATGTGGCAATAAAATGTGAACACAACAAGAAGTTTGCAATTTATTTAATAAAAAGTATCCAGCTCGACTTATTACTCCTGCTACGATTAGTAAAATTGAACTGAAATTCAGAGAGACTGGACATGTCGAAGATATTCCAAAACCTGGCATTTCGAGTATTAGTGAAGACACTAAAATTGACATTTTGTTACGAGTGGAAGAAGATCCTTAAAGTGCTTCTAGCCTAGTCGCGGCTGAAAGTCAAGTCAGCCAACGCTCAGTATTAGGTACGTATTATGAAGAAAGAAAAGTATCATCCATACAAAATTAGACTAGTGCAGGAAATTAACGAAGATGATCCGGACCGTAGACTACAATTTTGTGAAACTGAGGAATTTATTTAAATTATTATTATTTAACAATAATTCACAATTTGCTCGTAAAACACTTTTTTTGGACAAAGCTACCTCTGTTTGAATGGTACAGTCAACCGTCAAAATTGTAGGTACTGGAGCAGAGAAATTCCTTATTGGGTAGTACAGGCAAATTCCCAATACCGGTGAATGTCTGGGCAGGAATGGTGGAAAATAGTATAATAGGTCCTTTCTTCTTTGACGAGAATATGACAGGACAACGTATTTGTGTTAAAAACTCGGGAGGTCCCGATCTACCAAGTGATACAATTTGGTTTCAACAGGATGGGACACCTTCGCAGTATGCGCGTCCTGTCCGTACTTTTTTGGACACATGTTTTCCTGAGAGGTGGATTGGCAGACGAGGACCGATAGTGGTAAGCGAGATTTCCAGATCTCACCCCTGTTTATTATTTCCTATGGGACTACCTTAAATCAAAGATCAGCGTTTCTTAACCTTTTTCCGTCCACGGACCCCTAGGAAATCAAGCAGAAGTCCAAGGACCCCTTGATAAAAAAAACAGCAATGCATGTCAGACCATTTATTTTAGTACTGCAAATACAAAAAAAATGTGCTGCTTCTTCGCAACTAAGTTGATGGTATTTGGGCTACTAAGTTGCAATCTCAAATCGGATTCAACTAGTAATCTGTTTCTGTATTTGTTTTTAATATATACAAGCGAAGAGAATACCTTTTCACAGAGGTATATCGTTGAGAAAAGCAGTAAATGTTTCATTTCTTGATCTAATATTTCCTGGGACTCTTAGTAGCATTTATTTATTATTGTTAAATAGTCCATAGGTGAGACTGCGGCGGACCCCCGTACAATATACTCGCGGACCATAGTTTAAGAAACACTGTTCTACATCAACAGACCACAAAATTTAGAAGACTTGAAAAATTAAATTCGTGAAAAATGTCATCCAAAAGTCATCCAAAACGTTTTTAGAGAATTTTCGAATAGGCTTGCTTACTGTCAAGAAACCAACGGGGAGCAATTCGAATATTTAATTAGTTAATGTATTCATTAAAAGCATTTTCAAAATAATTTTCATCCCATTTCATAATCATCCAAATCTGCAAAAAAAGACCGGGCACAATTTAAAAAACGGCCGATGAAGTCATAGCTTCTACACAAATGGCGACAAATATGAAAACTTTACATAAAAATGTGCGGAATTTAAAAGCAAAATCGTCGTGTTTAAGGATTTTTTTGGGGAAAAAAGGCACCATACACCTACCATTACACTGGTACTTTTCCTCGAGCTATCAGTACTATTAGCAGTTATATAATCATCGGTGGTAGTACTCTCCGAAACGTCCGTGTTGGTTTTACCGGAGTCAGTTCTAGACAACAACAAATCCGGTACTATGGCGGGTAATGGTGACTCAGCCAACGGTTCGGAAGGTTTTCGCCTCCACATTGGCGAAACTGATCTTGGTGTTAAATAATTTTTCGAGGTGGATGGAAGCTCTAGCTGCTTTGGAGTTGGTTTGTCCACTACTATGCGTGGATAAGATTCAGGCTATAAAGAAATACCGATTAAATTACCTTAAATTAAATTACCTTAACTGTATTAGAACGGTCTAAAATGACCAACAACAATCTAAAAATGTAGATTTTCACCTACCTGTTCTACAAATTCTTCCTCAAGTGCTTCAGTGTCCATGGATGATCTTTGTTGATGTTGGAGCATCAGAAGATGTTTTCTTCTCGAAGAAGGTGTAAGTAGATTCGTTGAAGATGGCGAAGCAACCGATGTCATCTCTGAACTGCTTAAAGCGGTACCGTTATCGGTTCCGGAGTCGACTTGCAGAACAGTGGCTTGCGATTCGTTCCAAATACCATCGGATTGGTCCCTACAACATAAGATGCAACTCAGTTGTTCACCATGGATGAATGTTATCGATAAATAGGTTCCTGAAAACTTTCTCACCTTAAATCGTTGGCTAACGAGTCGTTCGAAGCAAACGGGCTCAGTCTTCGGTCAGGCATAAGAAAATTGGGTACGACACCTTCATCGGTAGGCGAGTGCCCGTCCAAAACTATGGCGACCCCCGCAGTGCTACCGCATTCCTGCGAGTCCTGCCTATATAGCATGGGGTTGTAGATAAGATTCTCGTGAAACTCCTCGTCAATTGAGTCCTGGCCGTAGATGGTGCGGTCTAGAGAGGAGTACACGTTCTCGTCTAGCGGTTTGCAGATACCTTAATTTGATTGAAATATACAGGGTGTTTCTTTTAACTTGAGACAGCTCAATATATCAAGAAATACGCATTTCACGGAAAAATGTTTTAAATAAAAGGTTAATGTGACCAAAGGGGACATTATTTGGTGCTACAGCTAGCCACCTCCTACCCCTCCTTAAGGGTGAAACGAGGGGTAACTTTGGAGAGTCAAATGGGATAACCCTTTTTTTTACAGATTTTGGTAGTACATAAAAAAATGAATAACTTTTATTTAAAACTTTTTTCAATTTATCAAAAGATGGCGCTGTAATTCAAAATTTAAGAAAATTGGGTTTCCTTGTAAAATGTATTATTTGAAACGTTTGAAAAACAAAAATTAACATTAAATCAACAATAGTCGACTCTGAAAACAATTTATAACAAATGTTCAAAATGTCATCCTTTCATTTCCACACATTTTTTAATGCGGGTAATGAATTCTGGCTCCACCATGTCCTCCGGAGTTGTAGGAATTGCAACGTAAACTTTTTATTTCAAGTAACCCCACAGGAAGAAGTCTGGCAGATCGTTTTCTAGAAAATTCCGGTACTTTTCACCATTTAATGCCGTTCGTCAAAGGTACCGCACCAAACATTTACCGACCAGGGACGCTGGTGTCGAAATGGAAGGACGACATTTCGAACATTGGTTATAAATTGTTTTCAGAGCCGACTATTGTTGATTTGATGTTAATTTTTGTTTATTAAACGTTTCAAATAATACATTTTAAAAGAAAACCCATTTTTCTTAAATTTGAATTACAGCGCCATCTGTTGATAAATTGAAAAAAGTTTTAATTAAAAGTTATTCATTTTTTTATGTACTACCAAAATCTGTAAAAAAAGAGGGTTATCCCATTTGACTCTCCAAAGTTACCCCCGTTTTACCCTTAAGGAGGGGTAGGGGGTGGCTATCGGTAGCACCAAATAATGTCCCCTTTGGTCACATTAACATTTTATTTAAAACATTTTTCAGTGAAATGCGTATTTCTTGAGATATTGAGGTGTCTCAAGTTAAAAGAAACACCCTACAGTGTAGGGACTACACATTATTAGGATTTTAAATAATAATAATAATAATAATAATAATAATAATAATAATAATAATAATAATAATAATAATAATAATAATAATAATAATAATAATAATAATAATAATAATAATAATAATAATAATAATAATAATAATAATAATAATAATAATAATAATAATAATAATAATAATAATAATAATAATAATAATAATAATAATAATAATTATAGCTTCTTGTCGCTAGTGGTCTTACCTTCATATCGAATAGGAGATTTCTGGAAATAAGGCGTGAACTTCTTCGGTGGTTCCTCTTCCGCAACAACTATATTTTCGTGGCTGAAAGACATTACAGTTTTATCGGGAACAACCGAATCTTCCACTTTCGAAGTTTTCCGTTGCTCCATCAAAATTTCCCCATCGCTTTTGGTTTTCGTCAAGGTCCTTTTCACGACCTAAATGTAAAAGGGTTTTTGTGATGGGAACTTTCAGGAATAATTTTGTTACCTGTGTAGCTGGTACTTGAGGTTTGAAATCGATGAAGATCTCTTTCTTCGATTCCGCCGAATCCTCGGATTCATGATCCTCAGATCTGGACAGCGAGGAGGTGTCACTTTGCGGTATCACTTCTGGAATGATAGGTATATTAGGAATATGAACCGGCGGTGGGGTTGTTACTATAAATGGGCTCCTCGGGGGCTCGTCTGACTGGGTGCGGGCTAAAGGTTCATGATCTAGAAACAAAAAGGTATGAGAAAATATGCCAAATGTCCAACTGCAAGACATATGGCCATCTAGTTCCCCCGTTTTAACTGTAACGCATTGTAATACGTGCTAGAGTTGTTATTTCTTAAAAAGATTATTACCCAATATTGTTTCATACTGCGTGAAATCGTGCAGAGGTGGCAATCCGAACTTGCTTCCAGCTTCTGAGTAGGACTTCATCAATTTTCTGCCATTTAAAATGAGACCGTTTGTTTGTGCGCCTTGAGACACCATCTTCACTCTATGCATAGTTCTTGGACTTAGATTGATGTTGCTCGGAGGCAGTGGTTTTCTTCCCAGAGCCGCTTCCGTTTGAGTTGCTTGGGTTTTCATTGGAGCACGCTTTATTTTGTCTAAAAGCCGATAAAGATAATGAAGCTTCACAAGATGACCGATGAAGTAAAAAACCCTGTATATTGTTTTATTTCTCACCTAACATAATGATATTTTCCGATGGTTCAGGTTGTTTTGTTATGGGTAAAGTACCAACTTCCAAAAGTCTTTCCTGACTTCTTGTCATTCTGTTTAAGGTAGTTGACGATGATGATAAATATGATATGGCGTCATCAAAAGATGTAAGAGTGTGTGATCTGGCGAAACTGACATGTTTTTTCCTGAAACAAACCTTAAAGTCAAAAAAATGTTCTGCTTTTTAAATTTAGAAGAAAACAGTTCACAAGAAAGATCTTTGAATCACCATTGGATGGTGAATAATGAAAATCTTTTTATGCAATTTAACAAAATCATTATGGATCAATTGATACATAATCTAAAAGATCTATATATAGGAACAATTTAAAACAAATATTTACTGTTAGATGTAGAAACATTTAGTTAAGGGTTCAGTAAAGTATCTGTCTCTTAAGCGTTCTCCAAATATTTCGAAGTATATTTAAATATGGGCTATTTAACGGAAACACATAGAATTTAAGTTTTAATTCTCATAGGATGTGGCAAAAAAACAAGAACGCAACAAGAAGTTTGCAAATTATTTAGTATCCAGCTCGACCTATTACTCGTGCTACGGTTAGTAAAATTGAACGGAAATTCAGATATACTGGACATGTCAAAGATATTCCAAAACCTGGCCGTCCGATTATTAGTGAAGACACTAAAATTGAGAATTTGTTACGTGTGGAAGAAGATCCTCACAGTGCTTCTAGCCTAGTCGCAGCTGAAAGTCAAGTCAGCCAACGCTCAGTATTACATCTTACGAAGAAAGAAAAGTACCATCCAAACAAAATTATACTAGTGCAGGAACTTAAACAAGATGATCCGGACCGTAGACTTCAATTTTGTGAAACTATGATGAATTTATAATAATTCACACTTTAAAATACTTGTAAAATACTTTGTAAAATACTTTTTTCGGACGAAGCTCCCTTCTTTGAATGGTACAGTCAACCGTCAAAATTGTAGGTACTGGAGCAGAGAAAATCCTCATTGGGTAGTAGAAGCAAATTCCCAATACCGGCAAAAAGTGAATGTCTGGGCAGGAATGGTGGAAAATCGGATCATAGATCCTTTCTTCTTTGACAAGAATATGACAGGACAAACGTATTTGCAAAACTTTCTTTATCCCACATACATAAGCAGAAATGTTTCCCAATGAGAATGGAGATACCAAGTGCTACCGTTTGGTTTAAAACGAACAGATTGTGTATCAGTACACTGAAATAACTTTTTTCTCACCCTGGCAATGTTGATGGTGGTGTGACAGTGTTGTTGTTGTACTGCTCCGAAATGGAGGTGGGCTTTTCCATTCTAACGCTTTCGTCATCCGAACTCATCCAAGTGTATCTGCTCGGGTCTGGCTGGACTTTTCTTCGGAAATACGAGCTTTTCAGTTCGTGGTCGTAGGCTAGCATTTCTGGTCGTGGGGGCGGCAAGGGATATCTGAAAAATGAATATCGAGCAGTTAGGACCGCGCTGTCCATATGATAATTGGTGACCACCCACCACAAATATATGTTACTCGTACATACCTTGATTTTCTGGGGTAAGGCGCGTATTCCGACGGATGCCGTTTGTATAGTTCGTATAAATTTTCGTCAGATGGCGCTTTTTGTCGCACGCAGGCAGTGAGAAACGAGGTCCTGTTCGAACATGGCGAACCGTTGTGGGAGGAAAGGCATCCGAACAGGCTGTTTTGTCGTTCGTTTTCCAACGCGCCCAAGCCTCTTTCAGATATACAGTATTGTTCTCTGAAAGATGTTGAAAAGGAAAAAAGTCTTTATTTTTGTTCGTTTTATAATCGCATATGTGATTTTCTGCAAGAACTAGCAAATGTTTGGTATCGCGTAGGTACTGCAGAATTTTCGTTTTAATTTGTTGTTCTAATGTTTGCAATACTAATAAGCAAATAAAATTATTGAATATTTACAAACAACATACATATAATATGGATGCTGGCGTGCAATTTAATTAGCAGAAGTCCGTTTGATGTAATTTTGTGCCCGGCAGTCGAATAACAGTGCTGCGCAAAGTAAATTGCAATCAAAGGCCCCACTAAAGTCAACTTAATTAAATTTATTTTAAACCAACTATATACCTACATTTCCCGTTCAGTTCAGTTCGGTAATTGAATTTACATATTGCATTAACTTACTTAATGCTCTAGTGCATTAAATTGGCAAAAAGTGAGGTTAAACTCGTTTGACAGATGTCAGATTGGGTTTATGCTATAACATACCTTATGTCCTGTTTGCTATAATGTGGCGTCCCTTTGCCCTTTTTACTGTGCAGCCTTCCCATAATTTCATCCTCAGACTCATAGGTTAATGCCACGTGCTGAATATCAGCCTATGGAAATTAGTTAGAAATAAGTTTTTTTAAATTAAAAAAGATGTCAAAGGGTCAAAGGTAAACTAAAAATTAAGAACTAGCCTTTTACCTATAAGGCGGTCAGATATAGCCACAGCGGTAAAACGAAAGGTAATCAGCTCCATCTACCGCCCAAAAGGCGTAGCTTATTTATGCGGTTGGCAGAATTCTGCACAGCCGGCTTAAACACACCAAATGGCTGCCCGAAACTGATGAGGTCCAAAAGACCTGTCGGTGCCAGTTCGTGGAGGCACAATTACAATTTAATCACTACTATTCGTTTCACAAATTTATGGTAAAACTATTTTTTAATAAAAATTAAGACGTAACATCTATCTTAATACAAAGAAGGTTTTTACTTTGCCCATAAAAGTTTGTAGTATGCATAGTAGGTAGTAAAGTTTATTATTACCTGTGTCGAGACATCAAAATGGTTTAGAACAACTCTGGATGTGCCCATATAGCCTGTAAAATAGAAAAATCTGTGTTACCTTACTTTTACTATATCCCAAACTACACTTTGAACTTTTTAAATACTTCATTTTGATATTTTTGCTTAAGATGTTTTTCGCTTTAAAATGTGTTTTGGATATAATACAGTGACTGGCAAAAGTATAAAACAAATTCATTGAAAATTCGCTTTTTTTTCTCAAAACATTGATTTCATAAAATATTTAATTTTAAGGTCAAACTTTTTCAGATGATTATTGTTTTTTGTTATTCTACAAATAGCAAGTCTCGATATATGGAAGTTTTTTATTTTATATTTCTTTGTCAGCATTTAATTTAAAACAAATATTTTTTACTAGATGTAAAAACTTTTGCTGAGCGTTAATTGAAGTATCTGTCTTTTAAGCGTTCTCCAAATATTTCGAAGTATTTAAATATGGGCCATTTAACGGAAACACAGAGAATGGAAGTTTTAATTCTCATAGGATGTGGCAATAAAACTTGAACACAACAAAAAGTTTGCAATTTATTTAATGCAAAGTATCCAGTTCGACCTATTACTCGTGCTACGGTTAATAAAATTGAACGGAAATTTAGAGACTAGACATGTTAAAGATATTCCAAAACCTGACCGTCCGAGTATTAATAATATAATAATAATAATGTTTATTTAAGTAAAAGGACAATAGTATTACAAGAGCCTTACAAGAGCCTTAATAAACATACAATTCCACAAAAGCATGTATATGCTTGTATGTGGTTAAAATAGAAAAATGTAAATAATTATATAAAACATTATAATAATTAAAATATTCAAAACAATTAAATATTACGAAACAATTAAATATACACACAAGTAATAAATAAATTAATCCTAACTATAAAGTATAAGCAACATGGATGTAGATACAATAACAATACTGTATACAATATAAATAAAAGTACAAAACGCATGTAAAATAAATTGTAAAAAAATTTGTAAACTTGGAAATAAAAACGTAAACAATTTTAAAATATACTAGTACAAGTAATCTTAAAGGTCAAATCAATTTGTTTGGCGATATCTAAACGATTTTTTTCTATAATAAAATTTTTACAAGACCTTTTAAATATGCTTAGGGAATTTGATTCTTTTATATCAGAAGGAAGACTATTGTTTAGTTTGGGGCTAAGAAAAGAGTGGCTTCTTTGTCCAATTGAAGTTTTCATAGTTGGTACCTTATGTGTATTTTTAGTATGTCTTTTATTGTAATCGTGACGTGTAATTTCATAATAATTTTTATTTTTAAAAACATTTACACAAATACTATAATAAAATAATTGTCTTATATCAAAAACATTAGCTAAATCAAATAGATCACATGCATGTGATCTATTTGATTTAGCTAATGTTTTTGATATAAGACACATGTGTTTCGTATATATTATTTTTAAAAATGATTTTTGTATAACTATAACAAGTTGTGCAAATGGTTATTTAAGATCCCTCCCCATCCCAGAATTCCATAAGATAAGTGAGATTGTATTAAAGCATAATAAAGACTTCTTAATTTCTTTATCAAACTATTTGTATGGACATCCCATCGGAGGTGACAATCTATACACAGAAAAAATCTAACATAGTACCAAGAACAGCGCTGTCATTGAATGCATTAAAATTGAAGCAATCTATATTGTTATTTGCTCAATTAATTACTATTAAACCAAAATAGGGAAATATTTTGCCTAAATGTCAAAGAATTTATTGCGTTAAATGTATACATAGTATTCATACAATAGTAACGTTATTAAATAAATCAAATTAGTATTTAATGCAATAACATTCTAACAAATAAATATCAATATGAATATCAATAGATTTAGGAGCGATAACTTTTGTTGTTAATTTAAAAACAGTAAACGATTATAAACCAAGTGATAACTACCTATTGGTATTATAGGAACTGTTATTCAGGAATACGGATTACAAGATCCCATTGGTTTAATGGCTCATCCATTCATGCTATGCTAGCGTTTTTTCTGTGTATTTATTCCCAAGTATTTAATGTTTTTTTGCATTTTAATTTTAAATTCGGGGGTCTGAAGGTGGTCATAAAAAGGTCCTTATCCTTATAGAAAAAGGTACAAACAATGTTTTTTCAAAGTTATGGTTAAAAGCTGGTGTCAAACCATTTTTTTATGTTGATTAGTTTTTTTTCAACTTTTAACTTTAGCTGTTCCCAAGATGTTCCCTGATAGTATAAGACTGTATCGTATCGTATTTGAGCGCACTGTTTTCTATTTGTTTAATAGCTTTTAAATAAAGTAAGTGTTAGTTATACTTCTTATACCGATATTTTCTAAATTTTCAAGAAGCTTTGGGTGGGAGACAAACGCCTTTGCTAAATCAAGAAAAACCGCAAGCGAAGGTAAACCTTTATCGAGCGACTCATAAATGTTTTTTGTTAGCCAGGCAATCGCATCTTGTGTCGATATTTTTTCTCTGAAGCCAAATTGTTTTTCAGAGAGTATATTAAATTTTTTAAGAAAGTTTTTAATTCTTGAGCAAATAATGTTTTCAAAAGTTTTTGTATAGTTGTTATGAGAGAGATAGGCCTGTAATTATGTATTTCATTTAAATCGCCTTTTTAAAAATATGTTTGACCACTGAGGTTTTTAATATTGTCGGTAGGTACCTTACCTTTGATTATTATTTGGTTTATTACAAAACTTAGTGGTTCTGATATTTCATTCGCAATTTCTTTTAATGATTCCGCTTTTATATTGTCAATGCCAGTAGCTTTATTATTTTTTAGGGTTTTTATAATATTTTTAATCTCCTTTTTATTTGTTGGTTGCATAAATAATGAAAAATTATTTCTTTTATTTGGAAATAAGATATTTTGATGAACTTTGATTTTTTCGGCTAGGTCTTTACCTGTTTTTATAAATATAATATTAAATGCATTGACAATATCCTTGCGATAATTAATCTCTAACCCATTTTCATCTTCAATTGTATTTATTACATTTTTGTTAGAAACATTTTTATTGCGTAGTTCGTTTACTGTTTGCCATATAAGTTTTGTATTTTTAATATTTTTATTTATTTTGTCTCTATAGTAATTATATTTAGTTTTCCGTATTAAGGCAGTTACTTTATTTTTAAACAACTTATATTCTCTTATAAGACTTTCGTTATTTGGTGTGATTCTAGTTTTTTTATACATATTGTCCCTTTCATTTATTTGCCTAATAGTCCAGTCATCTTAGTAGTTTCACCTCGGAATATGAGATACCAAGCTGTATATTTGTATAAACTTTTATTTTGACATCCTAAAACTTGCCTCAAAACCTACATACTGTAAGGTGTCCGCATCTGTCAAAAATTAAGGTCAAAGGTTACAAAAATCGATTTTTTTAACATTTTCTGCAAATATCTCGTTTCCTATAGGGTTTACGCGATTTGTATTTATTATCAATATTATAGAAGATAAAATTCTCTACAACTTTTGTTTAAAAAGTTTTTTTATACCTCGAATCGTTTTTGAGATAGAGGGCAGTGAGCGCGCAGTGTTTGAAGTTTGAACTTGATAGTATACACGATTGAGATGTTGATGAGCTGCAGCACTTGTTGGTGGAATATTCGATAACTGCACAGGTTTATTTGATTTTGTAGCTTGGTTAGGGCATGACTTGGAACCCCAGAATTGGGGCTGGACAATGCGTGGCGAATTCCTGGAACCAATCACGACAATTCTCCCACCTGCTCCAGAAGAATTGCTAAATACAATATTCTGCAACTGCAAGAATGGTTGTGGTTCGCGATGTGGTTGCAGGAAGTCGGGGTTGCAGTGCTCTTTAGCTTGTGGCCAATGTAACGGGCAACTTGTCTCAATGCTTTGCCATACCAGAATGATGCCCAAGAAGATGGGACCTTTGATCCTGACATCATGAAAGACCTATATAGACCTTATAGAAACAAATGTCGTTGAAGGCGAAGATGAAGAAGAACTTGAAATTCAACTGGAAGACAATGATAATGAGGAAGAAGAAGAGAATTAAAATCAGAGTTTGTCGTTGTTTGAATAATTATTCTTTTTTTTTTTAGTTTTTACTGATAAATGTAAGGATTGAAAAGTTTTTAATAAAAAAGTTAATTAGAAATTTATTTCATTTCTTCATTTTTACTTATTTAAGTAATTAGTATAGCATTGATTAACATTACAAAAAATTTAGGTATTTCTCTTAGTAATTTTTAAGTACACAACCAGGTAAGTGCGATTAAATACACTGATACTTAATTAACAATAGATACATCATGAAAAAAGTTATTAACTATAATGTAATATTTAAAAAAATTAAAATTATTTATAATTATATATTTCTCAACATTTTATAAACTGTTTAAGGCATGTTTTTGATCGGGCCTTCCGGTTGACCTTAAATGGTACTCTATATAGTTAAACACTGCGCGCTCACTGCCCTCTATCTCAAAAACGAAAAGTTGTAGAGAATTTTATTTTCTATAATATTGATAATAAATACAAATCGCGTAAACCCCATAGGAAACGAGATATTTGCAGAAAATGTTAAAAAAATCGATTTTTGTGACCTTTGACCTTAATTTTTGACAGATGCGGACACCTTACAGTATGTAGGTTTTGAGGCAAGTTTTAGGATGTCAAAATAAAGGTTTATACAAATATACAGCTTGGTATCTCAAATTCCGAGATTCTTACCTTATTTTGACTAAGATGACTGGACTATAATAACTTCATGAGTTACCCACTTACATCGTTTTGTTTTTTTATTTTTAATAGTAAAGTTTACAGTGTGTCTTTCTAATACATAGTTAATTGTATTTATTGTATTATCGGCAAGATCACTAATTGAGTGACAGTGATAGAGTAATTCCCAATCTATATATTTTTTTAAGGTTTTTGCCTTATTGTAGTGAATATTTTTTTTATACATCTATTAGTGAAGACACTAAATTTTGTTACGTGTGGAAGAAGATCCTCATAATGCTAGTCTAGTCGAAACAGGCAAAAAGTGAATATTAGAGTAGGAATGATGGAAAATCAGATCATATATGATGGCCCTATAGGGCCTTTCTTTTTCTTTTTTGACGAGAATATGACAGGACAAACGGACAAACTCTCTTCTTCCCACATTGGCAGAAATATTTTCCAATGAGAATGGAGGTCACGATCTACCTAGTGATGCCAGTTTTACTCACTTACTTTACTAAATATATGATAATAAGTGTCCTATCCTATTAAAAAAATCCACTTTATAAAATTTGATTTTATTATATAACATGTCTGAACTTTTATAAGTAAGTTTAAAAACTAAATAGAAGGAAATATATTTATCAAATAAACTGCGCTTTGGAAAATTAAACAAATCGAATTTGTATCGACATATATTAACTTTGATCCCGCTCGAGAATACAAACTGATTTAAAGCTTTTCCAGTCCAAAAAATTTCGACGGTTTTACCTAACAAGCTAAATTTTCCTTAACAAATTCAATATGTAAATGTTGATTCTATCCTTGGTAAACAAATTTGTCCTTTGATTCTTTCCTTCGCTGCACAACCAAAAACTATGGGCATTACGTGTCCATTTTTTTAACATGTCTATGAGTAAAAATACTTGAATTCTTAAAAAGAGATAGGGAATTTGCTGCAAAGTAATCTTATTGATTTTTCTTGCGAAACTTAAAAGTTTTTCCTGATAGAGTAATGGGTTTGATCCGTATCGGCGATAAAAGTTGAGTGAATAAAAAATAAAATCAACCCCTTTTAAATCGATCTTTGTAGAAACAAAAAAACCCTGTCCCCAGGGTGGGAAAATTTACAGAAGGCTTATTTAAGGTTGAATATAAAATTGAACCATATATATTATATTCGTCAAAAGGTATAAAATCTAAAAAACTTCTATCCCTAAATGTAAATTTGCATTTGAAATAAAAAAAATTGTCAAAAAAAGTAAAAAACTGGACGTTTAGCGAACAATAAAAAAATATTTTAATTAAATATCGAATACAATAAAGGGTGAGTTTTTAAAGTGTTACAAGGCAATATCTTGAAAATACCTAGTTCAATATTTTTTTGTCAAATTTTAATGAAGTAAGCAAAAAATAAATTTTTAGATAATACTTTTTGTGTAATTTGTAATTTAATAAATAATAATTTAAATTACTTTCCATGTTTAACTGAATAATAAATTGAAAATTAATCGGCAAAATGTCAAAATTCTCGACTAACTTAGATTAAAATAACGCGTTTCCATGGAAATAAACAACAACGTGCAGCTTAACAGACTTGATAAAAACACTGAAATTATGTTTTAGTATTTTAACATAATAAATCATAGGTAACTCCGTAACCAAAAGAGCAAATCAATTTTTTTTGGCACACATACGTAGTTTTTTACGTAGATTTGAATTTTATAAAAAAAAGTACATCGTTGCATTAAAAAATCCAAAGTTACCCCCCGCCCCTCAAAATGAGGTGGGGGTAAATTTCAAAAATATGTCTAAATATGTCCCCCAGTGTCCCCATGACTTTTTTAAAATTTTACAAAAAAATATTGAACCGTTTTCAAGATGTTACACTTTAAAAAACTGTATATTATGTATCAAGTTTGATAAACGATATTTTATAAACGAGTTGCATGCTATACTTTTTCCACTACAAATACTTAATATTATCTAAAAAATTATTTAAATTAAATATTTGTATAAATCGACATCTATACGAAAATAAAGTAACCATCCCAATACACATTTTTGAGGTAATTTTCACCATTTACATTGCCCGCTATTTTTTTAATTATTCTTAAGTTAATTAACAATTAGTGTTACTTTTAAATATTAAAATAACTTCAAAATATAATTATGTTAAGAAAATATGTTATCCTTGAATTTTTTTTTATTTCTATAATTGCAATATATTATAAATTATTACACGGGAAATGTTAAAGGTACAAAAAGTGACAGTTCTATTTATTGGAATTCCCGTTATAATTTCTAACTTGGGAATCTACCGGCGTTAAAATCTCAAATTTTTCTGTGTAAATCAAAATTTATCCCCTGAAAATAGATTAACAATTGATATAGAAGCAGTTTTTCACAGTAAAATAGAAGAGCATGTTTTATGGGCACTGTAAGCAAAATTTTTAACGCTTTATCAGTTAAATCTTAAACGTTCATATAATCTTTTTAAATATTGGCGTCAAGAACCTATTTAATACTTTTGTATTTTTGTATTGAGATTATAAAATAATTTTCACATTTAGTATTATTTTACAAGAAAGGCACTTTATTTTAACGATTGTATGACATTTGACAACTGTCAACTAACTTAAAACTAACTTCAGCCTGTGACTAAAAACTTGTTGCTAACTTCAGCCTGTAACTAAAGCGCCATAAAGCCATAGCTTGTCAATGTGTATTTAAAAGGTAGCAAACATGTACTATAATGGTCGTTTCAAAGGTGGGAGTAAAAAAATATTATTACCTGTATGTTCAACCATTCCTCTACAAGGTTTTTTCATTTTGGATATCGCACCTGAAACAATGAAAGAATATTTTGTTTAGTTTTATTTTTTAGAACTTTCTATGAATATTGAATTTTTCAATGTTATAGTATTAAGTTTTCTTTTTAATATAAAAATTATTTACAATATAATTAAAATTCAGGGGGTTTCACATTCGTGGTCCATAGTTTCTGGGGGAACGGAAAAAGATATCGATTTGAAATTTTAAAATCGTTTATAAAATATTTTGAATAAAATGCCACTTCCGGTTTAACCACAAGTGACATCAACTTTGTTATTTCAATAATTGCAAAATATACACCCTATATATTTTTACATTTTTAAATTTAACATAAAATTATGACTAAAATTACTTATTTAAATATTTCCTAAAATAAATTTTATATTTTATTGTCTTGAATGAGCTAGTACTTCATCTAGTTGACAACCTACACCTAGTTGAGTTTTTTCAAAATTATCAATTTTTAAAATGTTTGGCTTGTTAATGTTTTTTATAAGTCACTGACTGCTATTTTTTATCAGTAGTATTGTTTACAAAACACTTAATTAGTCAACAAATTGTTAGAACAAACTAAAAATTTGACGCCATTAAATTTTGAACAGTGACAGATTACGTGGTAACCATAGATACCGTCAACTCGCCCGTCACAGGTTTCTTGATACAAAATAATATTTAAAAGTTAATTTTAATTAATTAATTAATTTTAATGTCCAAAATCCCCTTAAAAATATTCACAAACCAAGAAAAAGTTATGGAGTGAAAGTTCCAATACGCTGACTCTGAGAATAGAGATAGAGAAAATCCAATAATATTTATCGTTATCTCCCGAGTTATTCCGCTATTTTTTCCAAATATGGGGATAATCCTTTATTTGAAGTAGTCGTCCTTTTTATTGCGACGCTTTACAGTGGAACACTTTATCTTAATTTAGTGGTCTTAAAAGTTCCTTTGTAAGCTACCAAATTAATAATTTTGACCTAACGCACGATGGTTTATTGGCGGAAAAAATACATTTTAAAAAACTTTTTATTATGGGTATTTTTATGACGATAATTTGTTAAAAACCTCTTAAAGCAATAGATTTTGGTAAATAATTACTTTTAAATAATTATGTTTTGATTTTGTGACACCTCAAAGTAGAATGTTTTTAAAACAGTAAAATTGGCTAAACATTACGCACACATTTAATAAACTACATATATCTTTTAATCGAACAAAAAAATGTATATTTTAAATATTTTAAATTACACCTTAATCTACATATATAAAAATTCCTATTTGAATAAAAAAAAAATTAAAAGTTATAACGTTTTAAAGACAAAAAAGGTTCATATAGGCATTTAAGTTAATGATTTAACTACGATTGCCTCCGATTTCCACGTTGATATCTACATGTAAACTTTACGTTATAACTTTCCGTTATAACTTATAAGTACACAAAAAATTAGATGCATATACGCACATATGGAAAAGTTATGAATTTTTATTTATCGCACTGCATGACTAAATCGCGAGCGCTCCCAAGTCATTGTCTACGCACTCAAGATTTTCGTACCCACAGATCTATGCTCATAAGTTTTAGTAGAATTTATTAATTATTATAATTTTTTTTAATAATATTATAAAATATATACAAAGTATACTTATCCTATAGAATTAATAACACTGTGCTAGTTGAAAAATCTAACAAAAATGGGACCTGGGTATTTAACATATTTGGGGTGTTCTGAATTCAGTGGTGAAATCCATTTTTTAAAGTTAGGTCATTTTTTCGAAATATTTTATGTTAAACATTTGACGTTAAGTGCTCCAATTCGCTTAAATGTTAATTGGTTGGTTGGTGCAATTTAATCGTATATTCATATTTTTTTAAAATAGAATAAAATATAGATGTCATATTTTATTTTTAAATATAATTTTGCTCAGTACCCCTAATTTTCGTATTATTTTGCTTAAATAACAATTTGAATATTAAAACTGTTTTAAATGTATTTAAATAAAATGTTAAAAAAATATAATTAAATAAAAACTGGTGGGAAAAAAATGTTATTTATTAAAAAAAATCGAAAAATCATAAAAAAGTCTTATACAGTGTATATTTTGGCCGGGTTTTGAATTATAATTTTTATCACTATAATTTTCGGCATAGTATTCACGGTTTTTCAAAAGGCCCTGCATCAATTTTGTTTTTGATTTATTTACGTTGATTGTAGTAGCTCCAAAAGTCGTTTTTTCACTCTTTTCACATATTTTTGAGAAAATCGAGCGAATGACTGGTTTTACCGAAAAAGTTTAAATAAAAAAGTTGTAGAAAATTTAATTTTTGACAAAAAAGGTTTTCGCGTTCATATCACCAAAGTGCTTTGTTTAAGAGATATAAGCAATATATAGTTGTTTAATCAAATTACATAAATTTCAATACAACCTATTTTTTCTTTGTTTTTGATTATTGAATTGCTTATATCTCTTAAACAAAGCACTTTAGTGATATGAACGTAAAAACCTTTTTTGTCAAAAATTAAATTTCCTACAACTTTTTAATTTGAAATTTTTTGGTAAAACCAGTCATTCGCTCTATTTTCTCAAAAATATGTGAGAAAAAGTGAAAAAACGACTTTTGGAGCTACTACAATCAACTTAAATAAATCAAAAACAAAATTGATGCAGGGCCTTTCAAAAACCGTGAATACTATGTAGGAAATTATGGTGATAAAAATTATAATTCAAAACCCAGCCAAAATATAGAAATTTAAAGTAAAAATGATTAAAAATACATGCTTTTTATATGGAAAAACTACAAAATTAAAAAGGAAGTACTTAGAATAAAAGTTAAGGGCTCAAATTTTCAGGGAATTTTTTTTTCAACCTAAAAAACAAAATTTTCATGTGTCAGCAAGAAAAAAAAATTTTCGGTTTAAATGAAACACCCTAATGGATATTTGATCGAATTCCCCCCATAGCAATTTTATGTACTCTTATGTCAAATCTTTAAATTTAAATATGACCTAACTTAGAAAAACGGATTTCACCACTGAATTTAGCATGCCCCAAATACATTAACCACCCAGAAGCCATTTTTGTTAGAAAAAAAAAGTTTCCCATTCGAGCACAGTGTAATTAATTACCTATTCATAACAAATTATTAGGTATTAATTAATTAATAATCCCTTGTTTTGCATCTTTAAAAAACTATTAGTTAAAACATTATTCGGTCATTTATATCATATATATCGAAAGCAAATTTAACTTGGACTATTGCATTCTGTGATTTCTCAAAGAATTGTTTTCGAGAACAAATCGAAAATCAACAAACGAGAATATATTTCATCGTCTGACCCCCTAATAACGTTACTTGGGAGAAATATAAAATTTGTAAAATATGTGCTTGATTAAGAAGTTAAGGAATTATTAATGGAATAAATGTTAAAATTTAAATTATGTTTATTTATTTCTTAAAGTGTGCTTATTTAAGATGATTAAAAAAATATGTATTTATTTACAATAAAAAAGGTTAGTATTGAATTATTTTTTTTATATTAAAATATAGTTAATTATACCCATTAAGTAAAAAATAAAAAAGTTTTTTATTATTTCCTCAATTAATGCTCTGGGACCATCTAAAAGGAATTTAAAAAATAAAAACATTGTTTTTCGATTAAAATATAGTTATTTATATGTAATAAGTCTTATTTAACAAAGTAAAAAATTTAAAAAATGATATTTTTTTGCAATAAAAAAATTATTGGGTTATTTCCGCAATTGACGCTCTATAAACATCTAAAAACGCATTTATAAATTAAAAACCTTTATGTTTTTTTATTGAAATATAGTTAATTATATGTAATAATCCTTATATAAAGAAAAAAAATAAAATTTAAATTTATTTATACGTAATAACTCCTATTTAACACATCTAAAAAAAGAAAAAAATTATTATTTATTTGTAATAAAAAAGATATTAAATTTATTTCGCAAAACGCTGCTTTTTGACCATAGTGGGACGTGTGTCCCGCTCATAATTTCAAGGTTGTCACTAATTATTTAGAAAATATTCCCCCAAAAAGAATAATATCAATAACTGGACCTGTCTCCCAATGATTTTTTTTGGGGTATATGAAATCCTGTGTATTCCGACATAAAAAGACTGATAGCATTTGCATTATACATAAAAAAATTATCGATCAAGATTTGCCCCACTGTGCACTGTGTCCAGATTTTATCTGCAGGCGCTTTTAAGATATAATTGACGAGATATACAATTTAGACGCCTTCGTTATCTTAATTAGGGAGTTATTAAGAGGGCTAATTTAATATTATGAATGTAAACGGCGAGGCTTGCTGAGATGATGGACAATTAAGTGTTTGAATTTATACGGGGTGTTTCACATTCGTAGTCAAGTTTCTAGGGAATCCTAAGACATTGTTTAAAAGATTTCAATTCTTTAACATTTTTCAACAAATTACTTAAGAAAACCCAGAGTAAACTTTTTATTTTTATTTTAAATGTTACACCCGGTATGTTTTTACATAATCAAATAGTAAATTAAAAAACCTTTCGATTGATGTAACTGGGTTTTTTTCAAAAAACACCCGCCTTCCGCTGTCCGTTAGTTTGAATTCCAATAACTTTGTTTAAAATAATCGGATCCTATTGATTATAAACCAAGTGAAAGCCTAACAAGCCCTTAGTAAACTCTTTCAGAAAATGTTTGTTTAGTTATTTCAGAATATATTTTTTTAATTTTGAAACTTGTGAAACAAATTTTCGCATGTCCCATTAGCGTTTTATAAAACTTACATACATGTTTTTTTTTAAATATTGAATAACCAGAACTTTGTGTTGCTTTATAGCAATCCATAACATCCTTAGTTAATACAGTAAACAATTTATATATAAATTAATTAATTTTAATATACTTTTTTTAAATTTGACTTATGTCCCAGACATTTTTTCCGTTGTGTTACGTCCTTCGCGTTACCGATAGAATAATAAAAAACATATATGGCAAC